ATGGTATTTGCATCATCCCCTACATAATAGCACAGGCACACAATGTAATAGAATGTTAACAGACAAAAGTATGATCAAATAAACTTAATTGTGATTGAATAGTTATATATGTTGCTATATTTTAATTAGGTAGGGATAATGCAAATGCCATCCCTACTATCTTGTTTGCATTGTGTTTCTGAAGGATTGATATTAGCCATCCCTACATTTACTTCCTTTTTTGAAAAGTTTTTCTTTACTTGTTTTTTTTTTTTTAAGTGCAGTGTTTCAATAAACATAGGAAAGTTATATTTATAACTTGGTTATAAATACAATAAGGTTCCAACTGTAATATTTATTGTTTATCTATTACTGGCTGGTAATTCCTGTTTCACTCTGTATGTAAGCTTTTTAAAGGAACAACAAATGTCTGTAAGAAAGCAAACTTTAAGGGGTAATGATAACATCATTCACACTAGAATTGTGATTTTTTTTTTATTACTACTAGTTATTAATAATACTTATAAAAGTAGATACTCCGTTTGAAACTGTCACCTCAGTGAAATTGGTTGCCACCATTGTTTTGGTTTTTGAGTTATCATGTAATAAAGAAGAACAAGAAATTCAAACTTTTTGCTATAATATTTACAGACATTCCCAGAATTTGTGACTTAGTCATTATTTCAATATTGTCAAAAAAGGATATATACACTGTGTAGTATTGTAAAGTTCTGATGACCTATTGAGGAGATATTCAAAATACCATTTCGATGAACAATCCAAGCCATCCCTACATAGGCAGTGCTACCGATGTACTGAAAGCTCATGGAGACTGATTGCTACATTAAATCTATTTTTCAGAGAAAGTTCATAAACGTTTTTTATTAATCCAATCCTTATTGACTGTAAACAAGTGTAAGATTGCCTCTTTCAAATAAACACGTAAACAATCATTCATTAAGAGCATAAGGATAATTATTAGAATTGTAGTTATTGTACTATTTTTTTTGTTTTTAGTAATGAAATCTTCAGGAGCTTTTGTTTTTTGTTTTTATTATTACATAAGATAACTAGAATCTAATATAATGGAAATGTGATTTTATTCTTACACCAAGCTGCTATGCTGAACTTTTTCTTGTTCTAACACTATATGTCAGAATTAAATATAAAATCAGTGTGTACTTTCAGATTGTCATGAGTGGCTACTAGGAGACAGTGTGGACATCCTCCCTCATTTGTTGCTTCCATTAGCAGGACCAGAACAATTTCCAGATGATGAGATGGAAAAATTACCAATTGATCTTCAATATCTTAGTGAAGATAAGAAGCGAGAGCCCGAGCCAGATATACGGAAGATGTTGATAGAAGCAATTACTCAGGTATTTTTTCAAATTTCATGTTATAGCTGTGTTAAATATATAATCATTGCAGTGTAATATATAGCTATCACCTACACCTGAGGTGTAAACTGTAGGCAACACTTAATTAAATGTAAAAAGTTTAGGCACGCCAAAGTCACTGTGTTTCATATCTTTTAGTCACACATACATAAGCCAGAGGTCTGTACAAACATCCACGCGATCTGTCTTAGAAATGCTAAAATATAAAATCCTCAGTAAAAATTTAAATTTCCAGCCATATGGAAGTTATATTAAAGGATTAGTGTCTTATATGAAAAGCTTTTCCATTAAAAACTGTGCTCTAAATAACATATTTTTTGCTCTGTAATCCTGTTAATTTCTAAGGTAAACTAATCCATATCTACACCGAACAGCTTTACACGTATTATAAACTCAATGGAAAATAAAATTACTAGCTATGTGTGATTTCTACAGTGTTAGCACTTTTTTCTCCTCAATCTTGGTATATGTAGAAATTACTGAAATATTCATGTTGCAGTGATGAGCTTTAAATTAATATTCGTGTTACAGTGATGAGCTTTAAATTAATATTCGTGTTACAGTGATGAGCTTTAAATTAATATTCGTGTTACA